TAATCATATAAGACATTGTGCTAATTAATTATCAGTTATCATGATACGTTATTTTCAGAAATAACCCACGTTAACGGCATGAAAGCATGTCATTTAATGTACTAACATAACGGTGGACTGTACGCAAGTAGCTGGAAGATAATGCTGGGAACTTGAACAGAGCTCAACACTAGTCGAATAGTTCTTTATCACACTTTTATACAGGAAGAGCACCTTGTATATCAGTACATGCGAAAATAGATTTTTTGACATACTATCGCTTAATAAGAGCCATTTTCTTTAATATACGCAGGAATCATATATACTCAAAAAAGGGGTGACGTCGACAAGTGGCCAATAATAATGCAGTAAAATGCTTATTGGTATAATTTATACACGAGTAGACCATCAAGCACATGTATTTAGTGAGGTACAGGTACTTTATAAAGCCCACTCGTGGGTGAAACGTTGTACCAATTAAGACGTCATTGTCATTTTACCACCAGAAGAATTATTTTAAAGAATATCTTTTAAGAAGTCATATTCTTATGGTTCTCTCTCTCTCTCTCTCTCTCTCTCTCTCTCTCTCTCTCTCTCTCTCTCTCTCTCTCTCTCTCTCTCTCTCTCTCTCTCTCTCTCTCTTTCTTGTCCTGTTTACCTACCTATATACTACCACTTTTCTCACGTTAGGCTACATAAAACACGTGCTGGTGTGCACCTGACCAATGTGAGGTTTTGTCACCATATTTCAGTACTTTGCTTCATTATCTTGAATGATTTTTTTTATGAATGAATGAATTTTTTATGAGAGCCACAGAATTTGGTTAACACAAGCCTATCTGATGTTATCCTGACACCAAATGACTTCGAACAGGCGATAAATGACATGCCCATGCACTCTGCCCCAGGGCCAGACTCATGGAACTCCGTGTTCATCAAGAACTGCAAGAAGCCCCTATCACGAGCTTTTACCATCCTATGGAGAGGGAGCATGGACACGGGGGTCGTCCCACAGTTACTAAAAACAACAGACATAGCCCCACTCCACAAAGGGGCAGTAAAGCAATAGCAAAGAACTACAGACCGATAGCACTAACATCCCATATCATAAAAATCTTTGAAAGGGTCCTAAGAAGTAAGATCGCACCCATCTAGAAACCATCAATTACACAACCCAGGCAAAAATGGGTTTAGAGCAGGGCGCTCCCGTCTGTCTCAACTATTGGTCACTACGCCCAAAGGGCCTAGATGCATAGAAGACAAAAAGAATGCAGGTAATATATACAGACTTTGCAAAAGCCTTCGACAAGTGTGACCCTGGCGTAATAGCGCACAAAATGCGTGCTAAAGGAATAACAGGAAAAGTTGGTAGATGGATCTATAATTCCTCACAAACAGAACACAAAAAGTAATAGTCAACAGGAAAAGTTGAGGCGGCTCGGGAAAAGTTTTTCCCCAAGCAAGTACTCGCCCCCATCTTTTTTCTCACCTCATTCTAAAATAAAAAAAATGATGTCGCCACAGCACGTGTCTTCCTTTGCAATGACACCAAATCTGATGACAGTGCTTCCTTTGCAGAACGAAAGGGCTCCAGGCGGACATCACCCAAATCTTTAAATGGGCTGCGAAAACAAATGAAGTTCAACGATAGAAATTTCAATTACCCATTTTGTAAAAGGAGGAAATTAAAATTTTGATCAGAGCACAAAACAAATTGGGCCCACAAAATAAGCAAAAAAACCAAGGGAAAGACCGGGAGGGATCATGTGGAGGATCTCCTTCAAGGGACTAAACTGTATCATTGCAGTGTTTAAGAAATGACAGGATGGATAATGAAAACCCTTAAAAAAAGGGGATCCCAAAGCCATGATGAATCTTCGGGTCGCTTGTTCATTAGGCGGAATATTGCTGACACTAACGCCCCTTTTCAAGGAGGTGAAATTGGACCTAGAAAATGACAGAAAACCTTACGGCGCGATAAGGGGAAAAAAAAACACCTAAATTTACTGGGAGGTTTGAATTCCTGAACCTGGATTCCCGGGAAAAACCCAGGCGGGGAATACATGATTAAACCCCCTGGAAAACCCTAGGGGGATTTTAACCGAACTTCACACGAAAATCACTCAAAAAGAAAGCAAAGATTGGCAGACGAGCAACACCCCCCCCAGTGAAAAGCGGGGTGTCACTAGCACGTTAAGAGACACAAGCGATCACAAATCAATTCCCTTTCTTTGACTGGAAGTAGATAGTAGGATAATCGTAGGGTCCCAGTTTTTCGTTTAGAGATTAAAATGGGCTTGAGAGCACTTATCATCTGTAGACTGGAGTAACGAAGAGAGTTTCAGTATGACAGCTTTCTTACAATCTGCTGCCCAAAGGACATTTTCCCATATAAAAATTTTGATCGAATAAAAATCCCCCCAAAATGGTTAATAATAGGCCAAATATCTTTTGGGTCAAAGAAAGGAATTTTTGGGCGTATCAAAAGGGGGGGGGTCTTTAAAACCCAGATATTGACTTTAAGAGGGACGTTAAAAAGGGGATAAAAAAAAGCAAACGGGACTATGAAATTAAAGTTGCTAGGGGTTCAAAACTAAACCCCAAAAAATTTTTTTTTTAGGTTTGTAGAACAAAATTAGAGATAAATAGGCCCCCCTTAAAAATACTTGGGATCTCATGAAGATTGAGGCACTTTTCAATTTAATTTTTTTTCGGGGTTTCCCAACATGATTCCAGTTTAAAAAAAGGCTAAGAGAAGAAAAAGGGAAAAGGGTTTAACCTGGGGCCCTTTTTAGTCCATCAATCTTAAAAAATGTAAAATGGGCCGTGATCTTTTTAAAATTTTATACTAAAAAAGGGGGAGGGGGTATGTGGAAGATGCAAGTATTTTTTAAAAGGGAAAAAGTGTTAAAAATTCGTAACCAAACCCATGAGGCGGTCATATGGGATTATACAAGGAGAAGAAAATTGTTTTTTATAATTACTTGGTTTTTTACCAGGGCCTTTTCCCTTTTTTTTTAATTTTAATTAATTTTAAACCACCCCTTTTTCCGGGGGAAAAGGTTTTTTTGGGTTTTAAAGGGGGGGGTGTTTTTGAAATCCCAAAAGGAAATTTTAAAGAATTTCGATAAATTTGTTAAAAATTTTTGATTTTTTAAAGGTTTTAAGGGGGGTTTGAAATAAATTAAAACCCCAAAATTTTAGGAAAAAAACTTGAAGGAAAAGTTGGGCTTTTTCGCCATGGCACTGGGGGAAAAAACTGTCATGGATGGTCATAATGAAGCAGAGAGTGGCTTTAAAAAGGGGGTTTAAAATTTAGTGGGGGTCTGTAAAAAGTGGCGTTCCGCAGGGGTCAGTTTTAGGGCCCTTGTTTTTTATAATATATATAAAAGACCCTTTACGAGGGGAAATTTTAAAAAATAAGCAAATTTTCTGATGACCGAAGATTTTGGATAATCGATTCAAACGTTGATGTCTCACAACTTCAGGAGGATTTAACAAACTCGTTCGTGGTCAGAAAAGTGGAGATGCAGTTCAATGTAAAAATGTAAAGTTTAAAAACTCGGAAAAAGTTATAAACCCTAGACCTCCCCTTTAAAAATGTTGAACTTAGCGTATAAAAAGCGAAAGGATTTGGGGGGTTTGGAAGCACAACCTTAAACCCGGGCAGCAAGCCCAAACGTACTAATAAGGCAAAAAGATTATTTGGGGTTTTTATCAAGAAATTAAGCAACAAATCCCGAGGTTATACGCAGCTTTTACATCATTAGTAAGGCCTCACCCAGATTATGCAGCTCAGTTCTGGTCTCCCTATTTCAGAATGGACATAAATTCGTTAGAAAACATTCGCGTGGATGACTAAATTATACATAACACTTGAAATCTTCCTTTAAGAAAGATTAAGACCCCTTAAATTTCTTCACTTTTTAGAGAAGAATGAGGGGAGAATGACGAAAGGGGTTTAAATGGGAAAATAGGGATTAATAAAGGGGTTAAAAAAAGGTTTGAGGGGTGTCTCTCCAAAAGAGAACCCGCAGTAATGATTTAAATTAGATAAGTTTGATTTAAAAAAATAGG